CAAGGACTCACAGCTCAAGCAGCAGATCCTTGGGAATATATTAGCCCCAAGGCAGGTACCTTGTGCAGGATTTTTCCTTTTGTATCCTAACTCATAGAGAAGCAGAGACAGGACATGCTTACTTAGAAATTATATTTATGGGAGCCTACATAGCTCTTCATTTAACTGCCAAGATTGTGTTCTCCTTCTTTGAGCCAAATGGAAGGGAAAAGCATACTGAGAGGGCTGCAGTATTTTTACTGAGGTTAGGATAAGGGCATATCTTTAATGAATTATCATTAGATGAAGTGATGGATCAAGAGAATTTGCAAGAGCTGCCGAGTTTTTATCTAAGATGGATACCTGCATGATGCAAATGTTCTGGGCTACTGAGGAAGACAGTGCTCAGGAGAAAAAACATCATAAACATGACATTATCTTTCAAACTCCAAGGCACAGTAGACATGCAATCTCTAAGATGGATATATCAATACATTTAAAAACCCTCAAGTACTTGTAGGTGTGCTCAAAACAACTTTTTTTCCCCCCTTTAAGTTAAAATCATGACTTCCCTAGCTCACATTAAGTATTGGTAGCACTGATTTTACAAGAAATATTCTTCAAAACACATCTCAAGGGTATACTAGACTATATTACTTTCATTGAATAGGAAGTTAGTGACATAAAATCCTTCATCAATAATCTTGGAGTAGTCCTGTTCTATTCCAATGCAATTTATGCTGCTCAAAAGCTTTTGAGGTACTTTCTCCTTGAATAATAATGCCTCTTCTTTTACTTTGCTCTCTGTGGCTGGCACGCCATTTTAGATTTGATAAATCAAGCCTTAAAATTTTTATGATTATCCCAGTTGTTTCAAGCCTCCTTTCCACATGCTATTTTCCTGCCTTGTTTTTCATTCTCTTTTCCTTTCTTATGTCACTGCACTTCACAAATATGCTTTGTTTAACACAGTTTTGCTACTCTGGTTTTTATTCCGCCTCTTTATTATTATCTTCTGCTTCTTTTATTCCTTTTGTTTTCCCTTTATCTACTTTCATGTCTCTGTACAGTTAGAGTGTGCTGAAGTACAGAGTAGGAGCAAAGCCAGCATGCATTCTAAGGAGGGTGTCTGAATTTAGAAAAGAAAGGACTCAGCCCTAATCTGGGCTTTTTTTCTTTATTTTTTTTTAGTTTTTCTGTAGTAACAAGATAATTACTCATTTGTGCTTTCAGTTTAAGTACACTATTATTACATTAGTCTTTCCTTTTAATAGTCATTGCAAAGTTGGTAAAATGGTGGTGGCCAAAACAATGATGGCCATGGCTTTCATACAATTTAAGCACATTGCAAGCTGCTATTTGATCACACCAGTGACAAGCACATCAGGAGAAAAGATAACACATAGGGAACTAAACAGTAAATAACTGCATGTTTTCTGGGACACTTGTATTAAAGACATTTGAAAAAACACATAACCTGTCATGGCTCAGATTCCCTGTCTCTCCTCATATTTTCACATGTTCTTTTTAGATTTATTTCAATAATTATGTTGAAAATACAAATCCATGAAAATACCCTTTAACAACTAAAACACTCTAGCAACTAACTATCTAGAATTAAAGTGGAATATTTCAGATGTCAATCAGATTTCTTGTGGTATGACACAGGAAGGAGATGAAGCAATGAATTCAGAGCAATGCTGCCTGCACAACATACAGACAGTGACTGCACAGCAAGAGAAGGTGCCCAGTCTCCTCCTCCATATGAGAATGTGTGTCTGGTAGGCCTGTGGTAATGCTGAATTTCCTTTTTAGACCTTTAGATACCTTAAAAAATTAATTTCCTAAACCCACATCATTTTCAGAATTTGCAAAAGCGAACAATTTCCTAATTGTCTAAAAGAACAGGAGCAAATCATTTCATGGCCGGTGTTTTAAGGAATCTTTATTCCCTCCTGTTTTTCTCTCATCTGCTTGGTTTTTTTCCCAGTCCCTCCTTCCCCCTGCAAACATATTTCTGTTCTAAACTGTCTGTTTTTACACATAAAAGACTTGGGTACATGAAACTGACCCCATGAGTAGAATACTGAGTGGCAAAAAATCTACTTCTGTCTGGCTCTCATTTCATACTTATAAATAAAGTAGCAGGGCTTTGTTCTGATTTTTTTTTTAATAACACCATCTCAGAGGTACAATTCTACAATCCATATTTAATATACCGAATAGTGAAAAAAAATAGTTCACTAATCAGTTTATTGAACCATTTCCTTTTATTTTTTGACAGAAAGTTCTCAACTCTTACCTCCTTTTCTAATGATAATTATTTTGCTAATGCTATGAATCCATAGTTCCATTAGAGTGCAAAATAACTGTGGGAGGCAAAGTCCCAGTTCTCTCTTACACTCAATAATTTTCTTCAGTCTTTTCAGTTACTCTCAAAATGTTATGAAAATTGACAAGTTTCCTATTTTTGATGATACTTATACTAGTAATCTAATTACTTCTTCCTGTTCTGTGACTGTTATGCAATTATATTATGCCATGAAAACAGCATGTTCTGTCAAATTGTTCTCTTTGTTTCTTCATAAAGTTTTATTCTATTAAAAATAAGTGAAAAAACATTCTCTGTAACAAAGCCATAGAAAAAGTGCCAACTTTTTTTTTTTTTTTTCTTTTTTAATATTTCGAAAACTCTTACTAATTAATGAGACCTTCCATTTACTGGAAGATATTGAGTGCATGAGAATAAAATCTTACATCACAACACACAATCTCTGAGATGTGCCCTGTCAATCATATCGGATTTTTCTGATTGACTCAACCAGGCACAATTTAATCTGAAATAAATTAAATGTCTGATATTAGAATAAGAATGCACACTTGATTCTTATTCATTCTCTTATCATCTTTCTAGTATCCACAACTGTATAAGGATCAAGGAGCTCGGTGATGCATTTTCAGCTGATCCTTTTGTCTGTTCTCCAAATACCCAACATATAAGACACGATGTGTGATAATGGATGCATTTCTGGCTGCTGACACTGGGATTGTATGAAATGACAAGCTGATGACATTTCTTTCACTCTAGCTATAAGTCACTTCCTTGTTTTAGCTAACCATAGCTAAAATGAGGGCCATTTTCTGGGATGAACTACATCTTTAGCCTAAGTAAGAATAGAAGGTTTTCTAAATAAAATGAATGAGTTCGGCAAGACAATATCTCTGTAGAAAAACACCAGATGATCTTGTGTGGGTAAAATCCAAAATTAAACTGAATAAAATACTAGGAAACTGTTTCCAAAAAAAAAGAGAAAAATCTTGAACCAGAAAGGAGACAGCCTTCGGTGAAGAAACAGATTCATTATATTTTATGAATACACAAATATCATATTTTTGTGGGCAAAGTCTTCAGGCTCACCAAGCCTGAGTCACCATCCCTGGAGGTGTTCAAGAAATGACTGGATGTGGCACTCAGTGCCACGGTCTGGTTGACAAAGTGGTGATTGGCCAAAGTCAGAGTTGATGATCCTGGAGGTCTTTTCTAATCTAAATGATTCTATGAAGATGTTTTTGCCTTTGTCCAGCTAACACTATATTTGGCCTAAGATTATCCCAAAAAAATCTACATGACACCTTTTCCTTGTGCCTAAGGCTCTTAAAGTAAGACATCACCAAACTAACAGTATAATCCATGGAAATAAGGAGGAGCTGACAGTAAGACTGTCATGCTCTCATATGAGTCATTCTGCTTCTTCTGGTCTTACATTATTTGGTCACAGCAAATTGTTTTTGGCTATTACAAGCATCTATCAAAAAAAAAAAAAAAAAAATAAAAGCAGCAAAGAGGGGCATCCTCAGATGTGATTAAAGAAAACACTGGAATCGCAGAACACTGAATGAACTGCTGTCCTCTAAAATTGTTTTGTGATGAGCCAGCCTTGATTCATTCCATGTCAGCAAAACCTGTCAAATGAATGACACACTTGGGCATGGAGCATTCATGCTTCATGCTGCCAAATAAAAGAAGATGAAAAGGTCCATCTCCATACATTCAACCCATTCCCTAATGGTTTACCTAATGATAAGTATTATGCATTAAGCAGATAGGAGAATTGAAACAGAGGTGACATTTGATGCATATGTTAGCATCTCCTCATTCTTTTGTATGAAGTGCTCCAAAAGGCAGAGAGAAAAAGAATGAATTCTTTTTTAATTTTCCCTAAATTTAATTCCTGTGTGAGAAATCTCCTTTCATACATGTACTCTAAATGAACAGTTGATTTGCTTGGGAATACCATGAGGATTGCAATGCAGAAGCTCACAGTAACTTTCACAGTTTCCCTTCAACAAGTCATTTGGATGCTTGGTCCTCAACTTATTGCCTTTTTCTAGGTATTATGCACTCCACTGATGCAAAAATCTATGAAAAACTTGCTACTGTCCCACAATCTGTATAACAGCACTGTTTTACAGCACTGAGAATTGCAAAGTATGGGCATGTGACTTCTATGTATTTACAACAACCCTGGCACACAGTTTTGCTTTTGAAAACTGTTACAAGGGAAAAAATGTGAGTATTTGGACTCATCATTTTCTCCTTAGCCTTTACAAATATTAAAATAGCTACTGCAGTTTTGCTTCTAAAATAATCAAAGGCATGTGGTCTTTTATACTGCTTCTTTTCACACAGATGAGGAGAGCTCACCAGCTAAACTGTTTATCAATTACCATAGCAGTTGGCTACTATTTATTTTATTTCTCTGAGGCAATGAGAAGGAAATTTTACACAAATACTTTCTACCTCGCATGCAGGGGCGTGGCAGCCCCTGACTGGAGCTGCTCCTGGTGCTCTTCTGGTTTTTTCAGTCCAGAGCAGGTTCAAACAAGCCCAAGAAAAAGGGGAAAAAAATAAAGTCCAGGGAACTTCTCTACCTCAGCTAATTAAAAACTAACTAATAGCAAAGCAGAGCTCTCTCCTGCTCCACTGCAGACAACCCAGTCTGTGTGAAGGATGTGGGAGAGCAAGAACAGTCTCTCATAACAAACTCTCCCTTCACTCCTGGAACCAGTTTTAAAGCTGCAGAACTTAATATCCAGCACAAACAGAACAGAAAATTGGGGATACAAGCATCATAAAGTCACCCCAGCACACAATCTATATGTATTTCCCTACAAAAGGTGAGTAAATCCTTAATATCTTGCTTGGTTTAACCCCTGCTGTGAAGAGCCTCACCTGTTCTTCCCAAGAGGGCATAAAGGGCATTATCCTGTCTTTCTTTCTAACTCCAGGCAGGCAGACCTCAGGACCCTTCAAAGAGCACTTGGATAATGTCACAAGGATTGTGCCTGTTCATGGAATGCAGGGAGGCCAGCAGCCTTTTGTTCTTGAAAATTGCAATCTCTGATTGCAGAATAAACAATAAAAAGCAATGCTTTTAACTTGTTCTTGAGCCAGCACAGAGTTTGCCAAATTTTGTTATGGATGCTAGCTATTCTAAAATTATGCCTCAAAGATTTGAGACGTACATTTTAGAAGTAGTTTTAAGAGATACCAATACCTTGCTGATGTAGAATAAATTACTTTTCACTCTCCTGTTATTCAGTCTCCCTCACTGGAGATATTCAAGGATTCTCTGGATGCAATCCTGTGCAATGTGCTCTGGGATGACCCTGCACGAACAGGGACATTGGACCAGATGAGCCACTGTGGTCCCTCCCAACCTGACACATTCTGTGATCATGGGACTTTGAGAAGTACATAAAAAGCATTAAGATATTGACAGATCTATTTCTGAAAAGGAGGGAGGGGAGTTCTTTTTGCATTTGCAATTAATACTAGGTACATTAGATCCAACTGGATTTTTCTTTCTGTAAAACTGTAAGTCTATCCAAGTTTTGGGTACCCAGATGTTAAAAGCATGCTTAATTTCTGTAAAAAAAGGATAAATGAGGGTACAGAGTACTAAAATAATGGAGGGAACAATATAAAATATTACTATTTTATCTGTATTTAGAAGCAAAAAAAAATCCATTATGACAATGACTTCTATATTTTAAAGTCATAATGAGTCACACAGGTTTTATTACTACTTAACATAAATTTTCTTAGATTCATCACAAAAATTAAAGTCATTGCTTCTGAGTGCTTCAGGGATCCATATTTTCAACTAAAGTACATTAGGACCATTCAGAGAATAGAAAGAATGAAGCTTTGGAAAAGCCTATGGAAAAGTCTTCCCTTTTAATCTCAGTCAGCTGGGAAGCAGATGTTTTAAAAGCTATTTAATGGCAGAGGATAAGGTCCAAGCCAGCTGTGCTAGTTTTTCTAAGCACATCATGCAAACACCTACTCATATGGATGATATCTTAATATCACTGTAAGAACATAAAAATGGGCACATAAACTTGAAATATTAAAGTTCTAGAAAAAGCCCTACCCCAGGATGATAACTGAGTCACAAAATCCTTCAGAGCCTCACATAAGACTTCAGGCAAGTCTTATGTCACTGCCTACTTTTAGTGTGTGTTAATCTTGAAAGTGACAACAGTAACCACATTTATGAAAAAATAAACTAATGAAGGTGGAAAAAACTGTAAACAACATTCAGTGAGCTAAGCAGTATTATGACAAATTCAAATTTGAGTTGTACACTTCACAAATATTCTTTGTGAGTTGTATCACTTTCTTTTATCTACTTGAGTAAGTGTCAGTAAAAAATCTCAAGGAAATGTATATTGTAAGAAAAGAAAATGGTCCATATAATTATGAGGCTTTTATGAAAATGTTAATGAATATAAAAAATATTATCCTGTTTATACGACTTAGTGGAAAAATAGAACAGTGACTCAATCAGTAGACAAGCAAATCTTTGTCATCACTGTTGGTACTAAATCTGAATTAGTGTTTTGTAAGGGGAAATGGATAAGAGGATAAGATGACGTTTCTTTTGACACTTCTAAAAAAAGAAGTTCAGAGGCAAAAATTGCATAGACTTGACTGAATTTTGTCCTTATTTGAGCTGATAATTTAAGGAAATTCAGAATATAAGAACTGCAATGGAAAATGGGACAGGATTTTGTCTACTAAGTTCTCAGTGTTAGGTTATTAACGTGTAATCCTATTGATTTTGGTGGATACATCTTCCCTTGGAACTACCTGATGAGTTATCCAAATAATTTTTTAATATTGGAATTTAACTACAAAATTTTGAAGCACCTACGGGGTCATTTGGGCCTCCTCATTTTCTAGGGAAAAAAAAAAATCAATCCTTGACTTTTGGAAATTGTATTAAAAATATTGATGTTATTTAAAATAATAAAATTTTAAAATAATATATTCTGATGTAGAAGGGAATTTGTCAGCATAAGAAGGAAACACACAACATGGGTTTCAGTTTATGGAAGTGTCATCTCCTATGGATTAACTTCTAGAATGAATGAATTCATTCATTCATTAATGCCATAAACGGCAGCTGAAAATTCCAGGTGTTTGTTTGAATCCTGAGATCCTGGAAGTCACTGAAATTTAATCAGTTCCTGACAGCTACTTTATGCCATACCATATTCAACCTCTGGTTTAGAGGATGGATGGAAGGTTATCACCAGAGCTCTTTATATAAACACATATATAAAATGAACAAAGAGTAACACTTTGGTGGAAATTTCAGAATTACAAGCAATCCTGGATTGAAACCCTGAAAATGTAAACTTCAGGAACTGGCCTGAGGCTGGCAATTGTTGCTACCACATTTTTGACTGAATGAGCTATCACTTGACCCTAAAGCACCTGTCCAGCCAAAACATATCACAGAATGGATGACAACAGCTATTTCAGCAGTATTTGTAGAGACAAGAACACACCAAGAGTCAACAGCGAATGTAATAAAAAGGGATAAACTTTCCATTACAAATAAAAACCAGGAAAATCTTTCTGATCCTGTTTGTACAAGAAATTGTATATAATGCCAAAGCTTAGAAGTGGAGGGGGAAAAATAAACTCCACACATTATGGCTGGTCAAAGTAAGAAAGGATGTCACAATAAACCCCAGAAACAGCCTTCAGGAAAATAAGCACATCTTTGTTTGTGTTAATACTTTTGCCACTGTATTTACAGTTTCTTTGAGCATTTCTTATCTCAAGTTATTACCCATCTCAAAAGCATGAGAGGAAAGAAAAGAACCTGCCTAGGTAACCAACTATGAAAGAGCTCTTTCAAAAGTACATTTGAAATTATATAATAAGCATTACTCCTCTCCTCCTGCCTTTTATCATTACTTAATGATGCATCGTTGGAATTGAGTGCCCAGTGCAAATTTCATGTGAAAACTTTTAAACGTGGTGATGGTCTGACAATATCAAAATTCTGTATTTTTAATTTTAGAATTAAAAAGTCACAAAGAGCTAGGATTTTAAGCTATGGTTTGGTATTTCAGAGATGACAATATTATGAACTTGTGAAGAATGCTGTTTTGCTTTTCTAAGTACATCATGCAAACATACAACTTGCAAATAAGACAAAAAAAAAAACCAACTCCTTAGACCACTGTTTTTCCACTTTTTACCCTGTTTGGGTTATTTTTTTAAAAAAACACCATAAATCATGATCCCCAAATATAAAAATATAAACTTCGACATTCAGGTACTACTTGATTTGCTTCCATCAAACAGCAAGTTAGCCTATGGCTACCTTACTTTCATGTGACCTGAAAATTTGTTTTTACTTTGGGAAAATATTTGCTTATAGCCAGATGTACAGTGCCTTTGGAAAAGGAAACATTGATCCTATATATATATATATATATATATGAAGAAGAAAAATCTCTGATATGGAAGCAGCTGTGACATTTAACATCTGCTGCAAAAATCACAGGAAGCATTTCAATTAACTTTATCAAACTGCTGCATTAAAATTGCTACAAATTATTTACTCAATTTCATTAACAAAAGAGAATTTCTGTGACACAGCCAAAATGCTTCTGAGGAAAAGACAGCATGCTGAGTCTGGTCATGGGGCAATTGAGCTCATTTAACACAGGAGGGGAACACAGTGGAAACTAAATGAAAAGTGCCATGGCTGAGCCTGGAAACCTGACTGACAGGAAGTGATCACATTTCAAAAAGGTTGTGATAGAGAAACCATGATTAAGCAATTCCTTTGTGTCATCAGGACACATTAGGAGCCAGAACCTGGAATTAGAATTCTGAGATGGAACTTTAAACACAGAGTTGGTTTTTTTGGTTTTTTTTTTGTTTTGTTTGTTTGTTTGTTTTTGTTTGTTTGTTTGTTTGTTTGGGGTTTTTATGTTTGTTTTGGTTTTGTTTGTTTGTTTGTCTTTAAATTCTGTTATTTACAGATCTATTGTGAATTTTCACCTACATCTACTGGTCAGCTAACTCTGGAAGAACCTACACCACTTTCAGGCACTGTGAGGTCAGTCCCACACATCTGATTACTCCCTGACTTGATTCGTAGGAGTGTTGCAAAACACACTGCAAGCTCCTATAAACAACCCATTCATTTCTAACAGAAGCCTGTAACAAAATGCTCTTGGACACTGGATGCTGGAAATACCAACTAGGTTTTATTATAATAGTATGACTTAAAAAAATCCAGTCCTATACTTTAAATATTGGATCTTGTTGGCATTGTTCAAAATAAATCAGCAATTGAAAAACACTGGCGATAATTTTAGACGGGATGTTGCTAAGGGAAAGACTGAGATGTAAACTCATAAATTCACAAGGAGAAAAGCTTACTTGTACAGGACTTGTCCTCTCTGAAACTACAGAAACTCTGACAGAACCTTCATATGGAAGATAACTCGTATTATCACATTTGCTGTGGGTTATTCCAATATATTTATACACTTTCCACTTGAATAACACAAAGCAGTCTCAAAGCCAGCTGCTGGAAAATAACAATTACTACTTGCTCTGGTTGTTACACAATACCTAAACCAACATGTTTAATTTAGAGTCACTGTACACTAATAAAAATGAAGATAGCCTGCCTTCAAAGGTGTAATACATGCATGAGGCAAAGCAGAGGAAGAAGGGACATTTAAATCCTCCAAAGCACAGACATCATAAAGGAGTTGAAAGAGACTGACAGCCATTTTTACAAAAATGCTTATTTGACAAAACAAAGCTCTCACCTGACCATCTCCCTGGACTTCCAGACAGGCAAGGGCTCCTCACTCTCTGTCAAATACCCATCCCTAAAAAAACCCTTATGAAAAATCCTGAATTCATTTGCTCTAGACTCCAATTTTATAAGGGACAGATGCAAAGAGCACTTGTTACTGAAAACAGACAATATTTTTTCTTAAGGAAATTATTAAAGTCCTCAAAATCTTTTATCTGATGGTCAAGGATATTTTCTGTATAATTAGAAATGTAAATTTGAAAACTTTTAGATGAAAGATGGTATTGAATATTAAATAATCAAAGTAAGATTTGTTTTAATGCTTATTCGTGTTTGAACCAGAGAAATGCTGCAGAAATATGGCTAAACATTACTATTGCCTTCATTAAAAAGAAAAGAAAAAAAAAGTGAGACATGAATACTTTCATCTATCCTAAGATGGATGTTAGCCCATCTTATGTACCAAAGACTACATAAGAAAACTTGGATTGAAAGAGAAATAAACACCACATTTCATGACTCCTAACCCAGTACTTTAGTCATAAAAATATTTTTTCTGTAATTACCAGTTTCCCCTCAGCCAGTTTCTGTCTTAACAGTGTCTTACTGAGAAGTCATTCTGCTACTGATATCTAAAGTACCACAAAGTGATTTAAGATGAGGTTTTTTTCTTTCTGATAGTGTTCTTTTAGATGTTCTTCTGATCTCCTTTGAAGCCATCTACGTTTCTTCTTCATTCTCCATTTTTCTTCCCAGATATGGCTTCTGACTCCCTTTTCTCTTTGAAATCCCCACCTTCTTCTACAGAAAGAAGCAGCCTAAAGAAGCAGAGTACTGAAATCTCACCTCCTGATGTTCTTTGAGGACCATTTGGACACTCACTACTTAAAATCTCGAGTCCTACAGAAATCTTCAGTGAAACTGTGCAAAAATGAAGAAAGCAACAAGGAGTGCAGAGACTTCCAGATGATATAAGACTAAAAAGACAATCTTTAACATGGGTTAAATGGAGCTTGGTGAGAACTAAACTTTATCCATAAAGTGATGAGTTAGAAGAGCTAGAGAATGCCAAGAATCTAATTCCAAATCTATGCATTTGAACTTGAATTCCTTAGGACTAGAACGTTAAAGTGGGAGTTGATAATGCTCATGAAATATTCCATCAGTCCCACCAAACATTGCCTTCCAAAAGCACCTGATTGTATCTAAAGGATAATAGCATGAGCCTATCACTGGCACAAGTTAGTGAAGTAGTTCAGTTGCATGTTTCAATTTGGAGGCATTATTTTCCTTCTGAGTTGTTTAGAATAAACAACCTGAAGTTTACAGCATGAACTTGTTGAGATCAGGAACCCAAGATCTCTGCTTGCTGGTATGCTGTGAGAATGTCACTGTAAATGGCCCCACTGTAAGTGGCAAAGCCCTTTGGGGACCTTCCTGTGACACACCACGATCACCAGAACAACCTGGTGAGACAGGAGAGTTCTCATCCTTCTGGAGAGAGACAGGATCAGAGGTTCTAAAATCTCCTTTAATCATCAACATCAGAATCAGTGACTCAGATTCAAAGGGAGATGCTGTGGGGGAGTTTCTTTAAAAAGAGCAAACAAAATAGAGTAAGCAAAGCACAAAACTAATTAAACTTGATGCAACACAAAGAACATTTTTGATGCATTTTATTAAGGAGAAAAAGCTGTGAAATTAACAGCAATCAAAAACTAATTAAAGTTGATGCAATAGGAGCAGCCAAAGAATGCCTGATAACGTTTATTGAACTAAAGAAACATGGCTGTCAAGTTAAAAGAAATCAACCAAACTCTGTTTTTGAATAGTTACACAAAGATAATTATTCTCTGGATGACACTTACAGAATAAGATTCAAGTCATTACCTCAAAAGACAAAAGGACTGACATGCTGTGTTAAACTGCCTGTGAAAAAAAGGGCCTTAATACAGAAACTTTATAAGTAATTCCTGGGTCTTGTACACAAACAAATATGATTCATCAGTCAAAAACAATAAACTGCTATTGTTATATCAATTACTTCTATAAACTAATATTTGATAAATATTTGTGAGAATACCTTGTGTAACAGGGTACTTACAAGGCAGGGACTCCTGGTTTTTCATCCTGTTTTGAAACTCATTGCCTCAGCGCCTGGGGCAAGTAATTATCATCTAGGAGCCCATTTGTTTTAGGATCAGGATGCAAAACTCAATTCCTGATGTCAAGCACCATTTAAAGTATGGCTAACTGCCAGAAATTCTTTTCTTATAGAAGGTCTTGGTGGCCTTCAAGTGAATAGTGAAGTCAAGTGGGTCTGTCTGCAGTAAGAGCCAGGAACCTCAATTTTCACAATGTAGTTGTACATCTTTTGTATCATGGTCTCAGATTTATTAAAAAAAAAAAAAGGATTTAGACAAAAATAGATGTTCAAAGATTCTAAAGTATGTTAAAAGCTTTCTGTTTAACTAATGTTGTAAATGCTGCAGGAAGGGTCATAGTCAGGGTCTCAGTAATGTCAGTCTCGTACAAAATACTCAACTTCCAGCACCTTTATTCTGGAATAAGCATATAAAACCAAATTGGGTTTTAAACTGGTGCCCTATAGGCTTTCAAAATTCTTCCTAAAAACTATCACAAGGCTCCCATTCATGCAATGATCAAATAAAAGTTTGTCTTGTAAAACATAATATCATAGCCAAGTCTAGCACAGATCCAAAGCAAACTATCAGATTTGGTTTGATTTTTTTAATCTCACAAAGATAGTATCCTTGGCTGAGAAGTTTCCCATAATTCATTTAATGTTTTTAAGATCCCACTTCCTATGCTAATTAAAAAAAAAAAACAAAACCAAAACCAAACCAAAACAAAACAAAACCAACAACAATAATAACAAAAAAATCCAACTATCTGTTTCTGGTAGGGCACATCAAAAAAACAATGTCTAAAGCCTGGTATTCAATTCCAAAGAGCTGCAATTCAGTATTAGTGATACGGCTAAGGTAGGTTTCCATTATTTTTTTTTTTAAGCATAAAACAGTGAGTTAGTCAGTTTAATGGTTCTGATTTCCTCTTTTACCCCCAAGGAATTTTTAGCAGTGAGTGAAATTACTTACACAATCTTTCAACTACTTATTTTTTATAAGAATGCTCAGTCTTACATTGTCAAAATATCCATTTTACTTTCAGAGACAATTTATATCATTAACACGGATATCTAATGGATCCTTTTTTCCTAGCCTGTTCTGAAATTGCTTAAACTTCCAGAATGAAAGTCAAGATGGTAAACTCTTCTTTATCTTGGAAGTAAACACTGTCTTGCAGGGAGCACTTGTTTATATTCACTTCAACAGCAGATGAATAAGGTTCCAACAGAGCTCCAGTAAAGAGAACATTTTCATGTTTTGTATTATAGACTTCAGCAGCCTGGTGCAAAACTTCTTTACACTTAAAATTGCAGCACCATGTTAACTCCTTACACAATCAAGTTAAAGTCACTGCAGAGGACAGAGTTGTATCTGCTACTCTGTGTCATCATTTGGTCTGTCACAGACAAAACCTGTCTATAAGGTAACTGTTGGGAGTGACAAATTATATTTTAATTTCTTGAACACACAAAGTTTATAAAAAACTAGCTCTTTAAGTTTTTTTAGTCAATTTTTCAGCAAAGAGCTTCTGAAACATGAAATCTCAAGAATTCTCACTTGTCCTGTTTATATTAATTACCCCCTTTTACAAAAATTCTCTATCTTTTCCTGCTGAGTAAGGAAGAATTGGGACTCACCTTCCTGGTCTAGAGCTGCATCATTCTCTTCTCTCAGCTGCCTGGTCAGTCTCTGCCTCTTCAAGTGAAGAAGGAAAAAAAAAAAAGTCTACCTGCCTTTCTTGCAGTGGCAGAACATATTTAGATCACTTTTTTCATGTTAGAAATATCCATGAATTTGTAGATATTTGATACTCACACTTCCTTTAAAACAGATTGGAACTAGACAACATATTAATGAGGGAGCATTTGGAAGAAGATGTGAGTTAAATGATGGTGCAATCATATGGTACAATTCACTAGGAACACCAGCGAAAAATGCTTTTTCTTCCAGCACTTCAGATTAAATGCACACTCACAAAATTCAAGAAAAATTCTTAGAAGACCACACTGACAGTACACCCCTTGCAGGAAAAAAAAATGACTTGAAAATACCTGATCATTTCTAGCCACCGAGGAAAGGAAAACCTTTGAAGATTCTCAGATCATATTGTTTTCAGTACCACATAAATTACATCAATTCAATTTCTATTACCCTCTATTCCAGGCCTATTAAATCTTTACTAATAGGTCTCCTTCATGTCGTGCCTGTACAGGGAGATGCAAGGCCCTTTTTATCATAAGTTAAACCGTGGTAATGGGGAGATGCCTGGGTGACATACTGCTCTCAGACAAGGAGAGTAATTTGCACATTTTAAAATAAGAAATTAATCCTTATCGCCTCTATAACAACTTGAAGGACAACTCTGATCCACTGTGCCTTGATCAGTTTGACGTAAAAAAATACCCATTTATTGTTGGAGATAAAAGAAGGAAAGGAATTTGTTACAAAATATGACTGCTGGAATATCTTTCTTCAAAGTTGTTACAAAGCACATAAAATGAATAAGGACATTTTCATATCACTGCCATTTGATCTTTTCCTTTGCTACTCTCTCCTGTGTTTGAAAACATAAACACAGATTTAGGCTGTTTGACTGTCTTAGAAGAAAAGGGAAGATTCTGTCACAATCTGAAAGAGAAATCTATATAATGAGGGTGCGAGGTTTGGGGTTTTTTTTCAGCAAAGTGAGTTTATTACTGACCAGTGTGAAAACCATCCTCTGGGGAAGCTGCAGTGCACAGACAGATTGTACACAGGCCCCTTAACTTAGCTCATTACAAACTGACATCATCATTGCCAGCAGATTTTGTAAAACACGGATGAACTGCACCTCTAAAGCCTTCAGTAGCAAGGCTGACATTTTTGGAGAGTAAATCCTCTCATTTTTGAAAAAGCAATGATATACACTTTAGGACACATCGATCTGGAAGATGAGTCCAAGCTCAACCAGGCTTAAAAACCTTGGAAATAGCACAAGCTGACCTGAGTTGCATTAACTTTTCTGAATTCCTCTATAGGCTCTCAAAAGAAGTGGCTCGAACACAACATGATAGGAAGGAGTTTACAGCTGTCGTTGGGAGCCTCTGCCTTGTGTGCTGATGTAGCCCTGCATCATCCTGGGATGATGAACTCTGGCTCGAGGAGCCAAGGCAGAACAGAGAGAAATATGCTTGGAATAAACTTTTCTTCCGTCACCTTAACTGCAATGCAGTCAGACAGAGAATAATGTGAGTAATAAAGCAAGGATGTAGCTGGCAGCAATGGGTAAAATACGGCTTTCTGCTTAGCACACTTTCATCTATAAATGGGTAAAAGTATGCACGTCCTTGATAACTTCAACACTCAAGCCAAGCTAGATTTGAAAAGTCTCACTACAGAAGGGGATTATTTTACACAAAGTCACAACATGTTCCATATAATAGTTTTCATTTCCTCAGCAGTTGGAGTAGAAGAGTTCAGCAAAAGAGCAGGTCATCAAAACAAAGATACATCTTGATTTTTTACCCTGCTATTTTAGAAGACGGGTGTGCACAATTTTCAATAAGTAAGGGAAAAAAAAATTAAAGGGCCTGTAAACTGTACCTTTCTTTTGTTCCCATTGAGGCTGCTCACTTTCTGAAAATAAACATAAAGAACCTCAAGATGTCCCAGAGAGAAAGCAGGAGACATCTTTTCTGCTTCTGCCTAGGAACAAATCCCATCAGAAACTGACACAAAAAGAAACCAAAATATGCAGTTATCCTACTACTAGAGCTTTCCACAACACAAAGTAATGCTATTTAGCAGCACATGACAAGGTAAGGCTGCCCCTCCACTTTCTGCAGCCAGGCACTCACAGGTGCCTTATCCCTGAGCAGATCTGTGATGGAGCAGGGAATGAGCTCACAGGTCTCAGACTCGGGACCCTGACCTCCCCTCTGTGGGAACAGGGAGTTGTTCTTGCACTGAGGTAATACTTGAGGGGAAGAGTCGTTCTAAGAAACAGTTTGTGCTGCTGGTGGTGTGCTCTGTAGTTTATCCCTTACTCCTATTTCCCAAGAGAC